AGAGCCTAAAGAAGAAGTCATTAAAAACAACTGTTCACTCAAATTATTCTTGCTCTGTATAATATATGGGGATTTTTAAATTATTAAAAACGAGCGTTTACGTATAGTGAGTCATGGCTTATCTGTTAAGGCATTCGACTTACAACTTATTTGTCACGTGTTCGAAACCCGCTCACATTGAAGCTTGGAAAGGTTGTTCACATCACTGACCTTAACTTAATGGACGTTGTGTATGTTTTAATTTTTTTTCAAATAACACTACCTAAAAAACATGATCACATAGGTTGTTCGCATTATCTAAGCACTAAAAATACTAATTTGTAGTTTTGCACTTAATAAAAACAGGGATTCAGCCCTATAATAACCGTCAGTGTCCTGGTATTGCCTTGCATCACAAAGAAAACTTTAAGTCTATGTCGATTTTTAGCGGTAAACGGAAACAGTTAAATGATGGATATTAGTCGGTGTTTGAGTGAAGTCAATGAAACTATTAAAATATATATGAGTATTGGTATACCATACAGAAAATCCTATTATCATCTGGAAAACATCCCAGAAACTAATTATGAAGATGATTAATATACTCTAAACAATAATCAGCAACTGGATATCACTCAATGCACTGTTACCCACTTCTCGCTGAAAATCGCACTCTGCAAGTTAAAGCTGAATCGAATCAACTTTATGCAGCCTTTCATGTACTTTTGGGTGGTTTAAGGACAGTAAGCATGTTTTCATTTGTATTTAACAGTAAAATGAACCACCATTTCTGAGGAGACTAATTCTACCACAAGGTATCCGAACTACCAACACTGAGCTATGAGGTTAGAGAAATAACTATTGAAGCTTTGTATCGAAACAACATGAACGACTACTTCCAAGGAAGCAGGCAGATTATGGCGTTGAATGTAGAAAACGTAGATCAATTTTTTTAAAGCAGTTTGGGACTAACAAACATCATATAAGACATTATAAAAATATGATGGACCATTCGCTTTATCTTATCAGTTAGACAAATTTCAACGTAGAAATGAATGTGCAACACCTGGGAACGCAAAGACTTTATAAAATTACTTATTGCAATTGTAAGCATTAAGGAATTTCAATCTTATAGTCACACCAGTCAGTTATAGTAAGCATCACTTGTGTGACACCAGTTATTTTTATTGTTGCAGTTTAGGATTTTTGTGTTGTTGGTTGGCAAAGCAAAAAGTATGTTCTCGATCTTCCTCCTACACCTGACCTGATCCTATCAAAGCGTAATACTGGATACTATGAAGACTTCTTTGCCTACAGCCCACATCTTAGCAGAGACTGTTCATTTAAATCAGACGAATTAGCGAAGCACAGTCTCAAGCTGCATTAAGTGTACCCAGGTTGGCAGAAAGAAATCTCAGTTACAACGCAAAGCTGAACTCAAGAAATACTTCATAATTGCAGATCTCTGCTGGACAACAGAAATCATAACAAGAAAAAGAGATAGGCTGGAATATTATTAAGTACTTTATCACAACTAACTTATGATTTGTTGGTGGAAGCTGAACGCATTTAAATGCGAAATATTAAGAGCATTTATTGATATAGAAGACTATTATAAATTCCTAGCCACTTACAGTGTACATTTTATCGAAGAATACCAGTTTCGAAAAACACTTTCCAATGAAAATGCACCATTTTCCTTTCAAAGTGAATAATAACGCTAACAATGTTAAAAGGAGTTCAGGAACAACAACCGGTTCTGAATCTGAAGGAATCTACGAAAGTATTTTGGGTCTAACTTGTCAAATAGAAGAAGGAAGATATGTAAACGTTGTCTGTGATATTTTTCGTGAACTCAATCAATGTTACCTAGTCGTAATACTGTAAACAGCGTCTACAGTTAGTCATTAAGAGATTCTGTTAGTCAGTAGTAATGTGACCAAGGGATTTAAATATTTCGTCTAAGTATGACTGTAGAGTAGATCTTGGTATACAGGAACGGAAACGGATAATGATGACCTGTGAGATTCCTAGTATTCTTCATCAACAAAAAATCAACCTTTCGAATAAATTTACGTTTTGTAGAAATAGCATACCTTTGACAATACTAATTAAGCTTGTGAATCGGTGCAAATTGTCTAAATCAGGCTGATCTGTCAGGCAGTATTATTTGATGTTAAAAATGTTCACCTGCAGACGCTGCTTTAGTTGACACTATTCACAAGGGAGGTAGGAATTCCGTTCTCCAATGCAGCTTGAAATATATTTCAACCTACAACTGCTACTGGTTATAACACTGACTATTATAATTCACTTGGTTGTGGCTAGCAGTGAAATCTAGAACGTGCTTTTCGTCCTATCTCGAACTCATCAGCTGGATTTCCTTGGACCTTAGTGAGTGTTGTTCCTGGTGAAATTCGAAATACCAAAGCGTTATCCATTGGGTTACTTCTTGTACAACAAGTATTAGTTACTACTATTTATTGATATACTTATAATTCTCGGTTGTTATACTGAATCGGACTATTCGACCGTTGTCAGCATATAACATCCAGTTTCCAACGGAGAAATACAAGTATATCAACTAATATTAATGATCCCAATACTATTACTAGTGCTAATATCACCCACGATAGCAGTACAACGATCGATACTATTATTGTTACCACTACTACTATTACCATTGCTGCTATTTCGACTGTCACTTCTTATACTAATAAACTATATGAAACACATACACAGTCATGAAATAACTTGGAATTACATTTGCGTTATGCTTGTTCAATCCTTATGTAGTGAAATAGCTTCCATCCAGCTTTCAATATACTCTAAGAAATGTTCACTTTAGTTCTGGGTTTGCATATACGCTAATAGTAAGGTTAGTTGATTGATACGATTTGTTTATTTTGACTATTCGAGTTATTTCACAGATATTCTGACAAAAGAATAAAACATCTCTTGTGTAATTCATTTTACAAAATCAAGTAGTTATTGTGTATATAAACTATCTCTTTCTTTCCGTCCCTGTTATTTCCAAACTGCCGCGTATGTGAACATATGTGAAGAACTAAATGAAATTGTTTGAATCCACCAAAACACTGCCCCTACTACTACTACGACAACAATAACAACTACTACAACCACCACTCTGTGAATACACCAAGAAACTTTCACAAGGAATTAAATGTCCGATAACTAACAACTCTTTGGCAGAATTGACCGACAACCTATCAGAAGAGTTATTCCGTTTCTTGAGAAGCTGTAAGTGATACAAAGTATGGTTTACGAAGAACTTCAAGTACATCAGTATGTGATACGGATAGAAACTGTATTAAAAGGGTGACTCGTTGAAAACTCAATGATAACCATAGATATAGGAACAGTAAATGTTCGCTTACTTTTTATGGGAGTTGATCGAGCCCTATAATGATAGCATATTTTGTCTTCGTAAAACATTCTCAACAATCTAGAACTTATAAATACTTAGGGTAATGTGGTGACTGATTTTGCTACAGGTTATCATAACCTAGTTGGTTATGTTGCATGACTACTATTCAGAAGGACATACTTACAAGTTATATTTCAGGTATGATCAAAAATCAGCGTAATCGCTTATTTTAGATGTGTAACAACTAACCACGAAGGCTGCATCACCCATAATGTTTAAGAATCACAAGCATAAGAAAATCTCAAGAACCCCGTAACGCAACATTCTTAAAACAAAAAACCTCTACATATATTTCCTGGTGTAATGAGCAGAAAAAATAAATTTAAAGGGATTTTAGGAAGAACTTATCAGGTGTACAGAATAATATCCACTTTCCCCGTTAAGTGAACTGAAAAATTGTCTGTTCTGTTGACATTATCAGATTTGGGATAGATATTCAGTTGCCAATAAGCCAGTTCACAGTATAACACTTAAAATTAAGCAAAACGATTAGCTCCTTACCTAAACGGACAACCATTAGGCAGGAAATCACTGCATGTCACAGTTGAATTAAGTTGCCATTTTGATCCGTGATTATTCAGTGAATCCACCATACCATTGGATAAAGCATCATCCAATGACTCACCACAATAACCTTCCAAAGATGAACAACTGTATCTGCTTCTTCTGGTGTTGTAAAAGTAAAACTTATAAAATCAAGTTGAGTTTTACTGGTTTCTGTTGACTGCTCAACGCCAATTTTTACTTGGAAACGCTCTGTATCTTGAATATGAACTTTAGATACAACCACTTGTCGAATACTTGCGAAATAGGCCAAGTGTCTGGGCTGTAAAAGAACATTTGAAAAACATTTGTGTTAATTTGTTTATTTTAATCAAGTTGCACGTTTTTGGATTATTACCATCCCAAAGATGCAGTTTAGCCTAACTTATATTTCATACTGGTTTCATTTTATCTTAATAACCCAGATGATGTGTCACAAGTGTGCACTTGTTAAGAATTTGTAATAAACATCAGGGTGAACAAAATAGCACCATTTCAACTCCAACTACCATTTTGTGTTGTAAGGCATCCTCAAAGAGGTTTGCTTTAACTTATCAGAGTATGGCTATAATATTTTTAAGCACAAACCTCTTACAGACTCATAAGTGAGTTTGGAATTGACTCCAAGCGGACTGCATACCGTTTCCTAACAATGCAAAACGAATATGAAAATTTAAGAGTAAAATTTGGATAACGTGATAGAATTTAATTCCATTTTGCTTGATTTATCAAACAGTGGAATAGTTCTATTTACTGGGTTATGTTTCGAACATAATTTATTGTCCACGACCATATAGGCCCAACTCTCTAACTCTGAAATATATTTTCCACAAAACGTGCTTCTTTTCAGGCATTGAGCAATCCTCAAGTGATGCGATCTGAGGAGAAACATCCTTCAATTCTTTACATCCCACATCATGTGTTTATATTTTTGTTACAATCTGTTTTGAAGAGCATCGTAAAATGACTATGTAGATCAAATAACAAGGGGACTACTTGTACACTAGACAAAGTTTCATTTTCAGTACTGTAAGTAGCCATTATGTGATACAATTATTGATTTCGTGGCAAAACGTAAGCATTTTCGGTCTTTTTGAAGGTGAAAACATTTATTCGAGTCTATGTATCTAGACGAATATATTACAGCTTACCTGGCGGCCATTTTCAACAATTATAGATACCTGAAAACGTGGTCCAATAATTAAGTCCACTGGAATACCCCATCCTGCCTGAAAATATAAAGAGAAGCTGTGTATACGAGTTTAAAGCTAAGAAAGAACAAGTTAATCATTAATCAACTAGACTTAAGTTACAACTTGACGTCTAAGGACAGAAACTACAAGGCCAATTATTGGTCAGCAGTACCTAGCCTGTTATTATACCTATTTTATACACTGTGAATACAGATCGACTGAAAATAGTTGGTCGTATTGGGTTCTCACATTTCAATACGTAAATAAAAACTTTATATGAGAGAATATAAGAAAACGTTGTGGGTTAAAAACGCTGGTGTAACCAAAAAAACTTTTTTTATTCCTCAGTGGACTAGATTAAGTAACTTAAAGGTTGAAAATCCATCTACAGCAAATGAAAAATTGAGAACACTTTAGCGTATTTTATTCCCTTCAAGCTAGAAACAAACAAATCTACAAAGTTAACATGAATTATGATATTCATGCAGTTAGTAAGAATCATATCAGATGTGCAAGATATAATATACTGCATTTTCTTTATATCAAAGTGATTCATATTTAAAATTGGAAAACAACTTTAGACACTTCCTGAAATTCATTGGAAGTGTCATGTTTCAGTTAGATGACAAATGAAATTTAAATATTTGTTTGAATTGACCAGTCTTTGAATGTACAACAGTTTCACTTTTCAAGGTGATTTATACACAATCATCTCATCTATTTCCAAGTTAAGGTGCTCATGTTGAGCTGATAACATAGAATATGCTCATAAAAGTTTAATTCTGTAACATCATACATGTATAAAGATGTGAGGTTTACCTTCACGTTAGTATAATCTGATTCAGTAGACAGAAGGAAGCACATTAAAATAGCTCAAGCATTTACTTTTTACTTATCAGGTGATAAAAGATTAAACACGTTTCCTATTCATTTAATTCATAATTTCAGTTTTACCGTCCGAATCAAGATATGCATTCAACAAAGAGCATTCTTTTCAAAGAAGTTATTCTCAAGCTATACATTTGAATATGTATGATATTTAAAACTACAGTCAGTGAGGGAAACTAAATTTAAATAATGGGAGATGAAAATAACAATTATGATGGTTACACTTATAATAATGTTACTAATTGATAATGTAAAGGGGTTGCGTAAGATTTTTAGGGTGTATATAGATTACAAACAGAGCGGAAACATTGTAGAACTAATAAACAAACGAAGTGTGAAATCATATAAATAAGACAAGTTAAGTGAGATAAAAGGAGAATGTCTTCTTAAAACTTACAAAGACTAAATGAAACAACATGGGAAGCTATTAAATGTATAAATAATACTGACAATTCCATATTAAAGCAACTAGTCCCTTTGATAAATTTAAACAGCGTAATGAGAAGACGAAGATTATCTGAAACATGTGATGTATTAGCGCTATACATTTCGAACAATCTAATCACACATGGACTTGTCGAACTATTTATGTGAAAATTTACGAAAAAGGTCAATGAAGTTAATAGGAAACATAGGAACAGGAAGGGATAGAAAGAAGAAAAAAAGGAAAACCTTACTCTTGGTATGAAAATTAAAATCAACACTACCAAGGTAGGTTCAATGTGAGTACGAATAGTTTTGTATACATAAAAGGGGTTTAAATTTACGGATGGCAAGAGCTTCAATAAATTTAAGCACTGGGCTCCGACCACTTTTATGTAGTGTGATCAGATTGTTCGAAATGTATAGCGCTAATACATCACATGTTTCAGATAATCTTCGTCTTCTCATTACGCTGTTTAAATTCCATATTAGTTTGTTTATTAAAAGTATCACAGTGATAGTACCAATGTACTGGATAACGTATCAAACAATATTTTCAATATTCCCATTATGTGATTCCACAACTTTGAGACAGAGTTTATATAGTCCTAATCTTCTCTCCTTCTCTGTGATGACAAGGGTAGTAGAATTTTCCATATATCTGAGACAGGTGCAGAATCATTTCGATTGCATGTACTTGGTGTTGAGTAGATAAACAAAGATTCAGTTACCAATCTCTGCATCCACCCAACTAACTTAGCTTTTAATTCTATCACCCTATTTTACTCTACTGAGTGATTGCGTGCAATCGCATCCATAGCAATAGTCAAGCTCTTCTCTAAATCTCTTATCTTATTAGAATCTACTAATCTACATTTAGCTAAACTTTTATGCTCTGTTATTTTAATCGACCCTAGTCAACTACTTTGACTCATGTGTTTAACCTCGCAATCATTGTAAGGGATCTGGTTAACTAAATTATTTCTCCCAAATTGATCGATATGATTTTTAACCTACAGAGCTTGTTTCCAAGCGAGTTTGTTGGTTAAAATGCCACTTTAATCCTAGCCTGACTGAGGATTATTCGTAAGGTTTCTGAGGTGCCTTCTTTGTATGGTAACACAGTCGAGGCATTGAATTCTCTCTCAACCCTGTCACCATTATTACTATGCCTAGTAGAATTATAGTTAATAACACCTCTGTTAATACAACTACTACTACTACTACTGCTCATGCTTTTCTAACGACTTCTTATTAATTTATTTATAAATTTAGGTGAGAAATTATTAAGACGTAAGGTATGCTTGATGTGCTTACTTTCTTGTCACAAATTTCTGTACTTTTAGTAAGCATTTTTGCCCTATTACTTAGGGATTTGACTAGGTCTACATTAGCTGAGCTGTGGCGATATGGTTTGAAGTTTGAGTAGTGATTCGAATTGGAGGATTTCCTATTGAGTTTGTTAGCAAATTTTATTTTGGAACTTAAAAGCTGTAGACGCCCGACACAATCTAACTTCTCATCACAAAGAAAGAGAAGAAATTAGGACCATATAAACTGTCTCAAAGTTGTATATTTACGTGATATGAATATGGAAAATATATTGTGTCCTAAACGTTATCCAGTAAATGATACTGTTTCACTATGTGACATTTTCAATAAAAAACTAAAATGGAATTACTATCTATCACTGTGCCCAAGTTTTACTCTTGTATTACTGCTGATAATGGTGATAAAGGAGTGCAAATATTAATCTAGCAAAAAGGGAAATTCGAAAAAACGTAGCGAGTATATTCAATACTTCTGCTGTTTTCTGAGTAAGTTCGACAAACAACCTTGAAATCATTGTTCCGGTCAGTTGAGTGGTTGGGCTCAGCCAAACGTTTAAGGATGAAAAATTTTATGCAGTTCATTTGAACCATATACTGGAATATCTTCTCCTATATGTGTTGACAGAGATCTCTTGCTAAGTCGGATGCACCTTGATTCACAGTAAAACGGAACTGGTAGATGCACATAGTGGTGGCCTGTCAAGGGTTATTGTCTTTACATTTACAGAGCCCAATAAATGGCTAGTGAAGGTCAAATGAATTTTGGCTGCGAAAAGTATTCTCCCAAATGACCTCCGAAAATGATTTTTAGGAATTTCTGATGCTTCATCAACCTAAAATCCCAAACTCATGAACAAAGTATTTTTTGCAGACTCAGTTGATGACTGGTTTCGTCTGTCTTCCTCGCACAGTTTTATCGATAAGTTGACTGGGATAACTATTCTTCACAAGCGTACTTCATAAGAAGTCAAGTTCAACTTCCATGGAGTCAATGGTAAGAAATCCAACGCAAATCTCGGTTTCTTTATCTAACAGAAATTTCATTCAGACGATTTGTTTACCTTAGCCTTACTTAAATACGGTGAAACATTTACAAGTCAATACTGATGTTAGAAAATCAAGTTTTACCTTCTACCTCAATTTTTCCCGTTGCCTCCTCTTCTCTTCTGAATATGAAACCCACATTATGTAATAAGTTATGTGTTGGTAATCACTATTTCTAAGTGATGTCATACCTTTAATTCCTGCCTCCACCTCATCTTGCTTTTTATTCACATGGTTTTCCTTCCTCTCACAATAATTCATCATATTCTAATTGTCAAATAAAAACACATGACCATTTCATTGTTCACTCTTGTGTTCGTACTGACTACCCACATTTCGCTCTTACATCACTATTATCCCTTAACTTGCTGTTTACATTTCATTTATTCTTCTTTTAATACTATTTCAGCTATTATAACAATTATTCATAGATATATAACTGTAGGTACTGAGGAGGAAATGGCTGAACAAATCTATGTACTCAAACATTTATCATCACAATGATTTATTCATAGACGTCTCATAAAATCCTGTAGGATGGCACTAATCTCAGAAAAAGAAGGCCATCACGATAACTTCAGTATCACTTATGTGACAAAGTGACACTTTTTATGATTCAATCATCAAGATTCATTGAATACTAATGTTAGACACTGAATAACATTCAATCGATGTTAAACGGTTGTTTACACGTTTATTGACACACCAATATCCAGATTTTTGTACATATTTGACACCTTACGTAACACTGTCAATGAACAATTACATGTTATCTGTTGTTAGTTAGGAAGTATATTCATATATGTTAGATGAATCACGTTAAAAGAAAATGAAATTCGAAATAATTTATGAATGTCACGAAAGATAAGTTTTAAACATTCCTTGAATAATTGCGATTTACTGTTTGATTTGTCTATTTTTTATTTCGAATCTAGAAAACACACCAAGAATTTATGTCTTAATAAGATATGAATTATTTGTTGAAGTAATCGTATAGGTGTTTTGAATAAACACAACCACTACATATGATCACAAAAGGTATACTACACTTCCAAAAATCTTGCAAGAAGGAATTCCATTTTAGTTTGTTTATTGGATTTGTCACTCAGTAAAACAATATAATCTGATGAGGAAGTCTACGTAGCAATGCAAAAAGGCTTACTAAAAAGGAAATGGAATCCTATCAAGAAACTAAACGCACATCAAGGTTACCTAACGTCTCAATAATTAACCACCTAAACTTATCACTTAACTCACAAGAAATCATCTAAGGAATATGAACAGTAGTGGTTATACACTAGTAATACTGACACAATATTGTCATACAGCGAAGGTGCCCCGAAAAAGTTATAGAGAATCCTCATTAAGGCCGGAACTAGAATGGCGTTTAAACCTACCAAATCACTTAGAAACCAGATTCTTAAGTTAAAAGATCCTACTGCTGCAATTAAGCAAAATAATTTAGTTTACCAAATCCCTTGCAATGTTAGCAAAGTCAAATGTATTAGTCTGAGTAGTTGATTAGAGTGAGTTGGCCTATCCGATTACAAAAATCTTGATAAATGAAGATCAGTAGACCCCAATAAGACCAGAGATATGGTTAAAAAAATAGCTATTTTGGTGTTACGTGACCAAGGCCATAATATGACCATACACAATCACATAATAGGAAGAGAAAGGGCAAAAACATTAAAATCTAGCTGTGTAGAAGAAGTGATTGACAGCCGAATCTTTGTTAATCGAGTAAGCATCAAAAACATCCAATAAGTAATTCTATTTTTGTTGTGTAATATACCTACGAAACAAAATAAAATGGAATTACAATGTAACATCATACCCAGGTTGTATTCGCCGAAGAAAAAAGTTAAGGTACTCTAAGAGACTGAGTTATTCGAAAGATCCTAGCTTTCTCCTAACGAAAATTAAGACTTATATACATGTCAGAGTTATAGGGCAAGTAGTATAGTGTTCTTGCAGCCTAACATTGCACTCAGCAAAAAGGTCTGTGGATAGTAGGCTTAAATACGCCGTTCACCCTGCTCAGATCCGACCTTCAGTAACTGTACTCACGCTTTAGAAATACCTTAAGTTGAACAGCCATAAAGTCCACCCCTTTTTGCTTCTGAAGGTGCTTGAGAAACCACTTCTAGTTTCTTTCCAGCCGGTTAGAACTATCTTACCCGACAGTAATTATTGGTACAAATTGTCAATGTACAGCATATAAACATTATGCGCGAAGTTTTTTCATAAACTTTTGCATGACAAAAGATTGCAAAACTTCTGAAGAAAACTTTATAGATGAGTACACAAAATTAAATACTGCTGTAATGCAGAACCATAAGTATCACATTACCACTGTTTTTGAAAACATACTTATATGATCAGAAGAAGCAGTTTATTTTATCTGTTAATTAAAAGTCAAATACTGCGACTATCTTGAAAATGTCTGAAACAAGATTTCCCGCGTCAAGCTACAAGCCACTTCACGAAAAGATTTACTTTTTATTTCATTCGCTGCTGATGCTGATAAAAGCTGTAGTAACAGTCTTTCAAGCACTTTACTGAGACAGCTTACCACTGTTCAAATTCACATAGAATTTATTAATTTATCTTCTACTGACCTGCTATGAGTTTCACTTATATAACGACCAAGTGTAACTAATGTCTTAATATAGAAATAAGCTTTTTGTGTGCTTCTTGTGGAATATGAACGCTGTAGCCTTACTGTTAAGTAATAATTAAGACATAACACATGAATGAAAGAAAGATTTACACAGACTCATTCCTTATGTTTAGCATGATTTTCCCCACTGATGTGACTTCTCTATGATTTCAAATATAGATAATATTGAATCTCTGCAGGTCAAACCATCAAAGTCAGTTGACCAATAGGACCTCAATGTCTGAACACAGAGTATTAAAGACAATTTTTCTGTCTGTCCAAAAGATGTCCCGTTTAATTAAACACATCATCATGGTCATAGTTATCATAGATGACTTATTTATGAACCTGTTTCCGCTCAGATAACATTAGGTCAAATACCAATACAAGGGGAGAAAGCCTCATTTATTTGAAAATACAATCACTTACTAGAAAATCGACAATATAATAGTTAGTTCTACGGGAATTCCTGCCAAAAATTTCATTTTACACACAATACAATCTATTCAACCATGTTCTGCTCAGAAAAATAGATTTATTTTATTTAAAACGCCTAAAGTAATAACTACGTTCCAATATTATGTACAGCGGAATCGTCACAACTATATGGTATAACTGCTGAATCTTATATCTGTATGCAACTGATAACAAAATGTTACTGAATCATGAATGCAAGTAATTTAATATCTCCTTCCTAACCATGAGCTGCTGCTTACAAAATGACGTCCGTACACTCAGAATTTTTGTTAGTCATTTCAACATTACTCATTGTATGTAAGACTTCTTCGCTTCTTGTTAGCGGATAAACAGTAGTTCATTTTAACACCTTATGCTCAAGGTAGTAATGTTCTATATTGATCTAGGTTTTGTTATCAAAATCATCTTAGAATTATTACTGAATGCATCCTTCACATCCATGCATCAATCGGATCCACTTTAAGCAAACACTATATGGTATATCCTATATCAGCACAAAAGTATTTCTACCTTCAGATTCAAAGCAAAGATGAGTATGATGCAAATCAGTTGTGAAGTTTTTATTAAAATACTGGCACTTGCTACGTCGCAACTATCCATCTAGTGAGTCACTCCAATTTTAACTCGTAGGTAACAGGTACTTTCATCATTTAAGTAAATAGGATCATGGCTTACAAACAACAACACCTAGGGAAATGAAGAATTTTAAGCTGAAATTTTGATTAAGTAAGTGGTTCTGTTCATAATATAAAGGTTAAGATTATGCCTTAATTCCAGTCAGTTGCACAGTCTTATTACGATTTTTCAGTTAACAACTGTTTGTTATCCCATTCAAGCAGCTTCCATGCTATGAGGGAGGAAATAAATCCACTAGAACATATATATATATATATATATATATATATATATATATATATATATATATATATATATATATATATATAGGTGACTATGGCAACCCAGTAGCCTAGTGGATAACACTCTAAAATTTATAGCGACTGGTAGTAAGTTTGAATCTTAGAGGGAACAACATCCCTCCCTAGGAGGCAGGTACCTCCGGCTGGCAAGTGCCAGATAGAATGAAGCACGCATCCAATATTAAACTTAATCAGAGTGCTTATCTTTCTTCAAAACTTTGTAAATGGTTTGTTCGTCTGTATTGTCCTGCTCCCTACTAGAGAAAGATTGAAATGTTGATTTCCGTAGTTAACACCATACTTCCTGCCAACTGCCAAGTGATATGCATTATGCGCCCTGAATATTAGATACCATTATATGGCAAGTGAGAATTCTGTTGAAAGATAAATTATTTTGTACGCAATCGGAAAATATCATTATCAAATACTCTGAAAGCTCTCAGTCGGATTGTAAGGCTTTCTCCAGTTTTTAACTTCAGACAGAATTGTGTGATATTAAGCCTTTACATTAATCATATCATTCTTTTCTTGCTATTATTGAGTATACTTTCCCTATTTTTTCACATTTGGTCATTATTACTTTTATTTTCCCTTGGGTTCCTAGCGGAATATAGGGCTTCAGTATCACGCTTCCATTGCACTGTTCTCCGCAATCTTTTGGACCTGGCACCACAACTGCCCACAAGCTTTCATTTCTTCCTTACATGATCTCAAACGGTCATACGCCGCATTTTTTATCGCTATCCCAACTTGCTTAGTAAAAATTTGTCCACTTAACCACAATATATATGACGGCTCAAATCACAGACGTGATTCGAATATAATAAGTTCTGAATACAAAGCGTTATTGATGCAATTAGTATTGACTGATATCAAAATCTAATAAGTGTACAGTGTAAATTGTCACCAGAAAAATTATTCGAAGCAAATTAGACCAAATTTCTACCTAGTTGTAAAGGCTGACACTATTTTGCTGCCTTGAAAGTTGTATTGTTGGTCTATTTCAGACTTTTCTATGATCCTCAGCATAAGATATATCCCGTATCCGATGAATTCTGGTTACCGTAGACTTACAGTTTGCTATTTTTATGTGACACTGTCTTTATTTAGTAGACTGTACCTAACTGGCAATGTAAACCTAGCAGTCCTAATAAATGAATCCAAAAACCTTTACAGTTTGCAGACTTTTAAAATTACTACTGTACGAAAGATTAATAGAAACATACTAGTAGCTGACTCAAAAACTGGAGACTGAAAAAAAGTAGACATGTCACGTCAAAATACAAAACTTACCCCAAGTCTACATTTGATTACATCTCGATCAAACTGTAGCAGGACCAGGTAACGATTTAGTAGATCTAATGCACAGTCCTCCTCTGAATAGTGAATTATCTTTGCCAAATAATTTTGCACAGCCTTTCTGAACGCCTTGCCCTTGATTTTAAGCAAAGTACTTAAGATGTGAGGTTTGATAACACACTTAGAATAATATAAGCATAAATTCAGTAGTGATTTGCCAATATATTGTGTTAAGTCTGAGCCGTAATACTTTCGAACAGTCTGACCAGAGAAATGGACTCCAGTTCTTGGTATTTGTGAACATCGCTTCTAACAAGAAAGACTGAAGCGATAACCTTGTGTTTTTTTCTAGTGATTTGTACTGTTTATCAGTGAACAAATAAAAGGAGGAACTAATTACTTTGCACGAGATTTAGTTTACTATCAAGTTTTTATACCAATGAGAAGTCTGGCGTAAAATGGAACGAACTTCTAGCTAACCAAAGCTAAAGAAGGACCAAATTTTGTACCTTATGATTCTTAATATTCTTGACATGACAAACGACTGAATTTTACCAGTTTCCTCCCATTATCTTGCTGTAGGTTGAGAGGTATTATATTGAAGTAACTCTAAAACATTTTGGCTACTATTAGTTTGTAACCCGAGATGACACGACTACATTATTCGCAGTTTTTTGTCTATATGGACAGTTTGGCATAGTAACAAGATTCTGCATCGTAGCTAGGGTTTTCAAGATGTTTGACAATCTCTTAGAGTTGCTGATTTAATAACCAGCTGCCGAAAACAACAACAACCTTCTTTGTGTTTGAAGACTTGAGAAATGCATTTAAATAAATCCGGACTGGCTGCAAGACTTGCTCAAGACTGAAAATAATCGATTTTTCAACGCATGTATACTTATTTGGTGGTACAAAAAGCCCTTTCCAAAGCCACATTGCCTTTGGGTGGAGGTGATATCAAATAATCTCATAAATATCTGTACCACTTATTATTAAAATTAGTAATAATAAAGTTTCTTATGTCAACTTTTGAGGATAAGGAGAGTAAGCCAATGACCTACGTTAATAATTGCTTGCAGCAGTACTTCGAAGACCTAATCTCACCTTGAAAGTACTAAAAACTGGTGTAGAAATCAAATGTTATGGTGATGAGTTCCACTAGCCTCCAACCCTAAGCAATAAACATATTTAAAGACGTAAAGATTCGATTATGGCTTCTAAAATAAGTGATCGTAGACAGTAGCATAAAACTAACCTTGAAGTTCTGCAAAACGCATGGAGGAAAAAATGTTGAGATATCTCTCACTTTCTCAACCGTTTCGATTATTTCTTTGACAGACAGCTTCGGAGAGGACATAAAACTTCTGGAGAGAGAACGATGAAAACAGTGTTGTTACCTACCTTATATTGAGACACCCAACTTCAAGTGCCAAATCGACATCTTTAATATATTTTAAGCCGGAATAATATATATTTCTAGTCTCAAGATTGGCTCTGATAATAGTTTTGGAAATGCATATACCTGTTGATGAAGATAAAACAGAGTAGCTCTATCATTTCTTGCCGCCTCTTCAAACTTTGTTGGAAATAAATAAATAGAAAGCCTAAGTTCTCCAATGTCATACATTTCGCAAACTTCGGAATACGTCAAGTGTCTGCATAAAATATGTCTGTGAGGATCACTTTTATCGAATTTCCTTGATAGCTGTAGTCCATAAATCTGTGGAGATGATGTTAACGAGATAGTTCTCATAGCTACTGAAATAATTTCCTGTAATCGGGAAAATTTAAAGTGCTACATAAGAAATTTACTTGGACAGTTGTAATAGGAGCACACTTTACAGTAGCATAGCCCACTTCTGTATGGATCTTTACAGTATCAGTGTATACTTCACTCATTTTATTCTCGATGCAGGATTTCTCCTTTCAGCATAGATGACCTCAAAATATTAACAGCCTGCTAAATAATTACGTTATCATGCAAACATATGATAGTTTTAAAGTTGAGACCAACTCTTAGGTCATTATTTATGTTGTCTGGTTTCATGAGTGATAGAGTATAACAAATCTAACAGTAAACAGGTCACATCCTAACGCAGTATCCAACTACAGTAGTGAGAATGCAGGAAATTAAAAGTTTACGGAACCCTGCATCTGTTTTCTGAGGTTTGGTTTTTTGTTTGATTTTGCTACTGTAATGAGCCTCGTGGTCTTTACCTCCAATTACATGTGCATTTCAGTGAATTTGGACCCGTAACTAATAAGCCAAGCTTATCAGAAAACTGTGGGCTACTGGGAAGACAAGGGGTCTTTTGATAACTTCTGCCTGTGCAAATGCATGAAGGAGAATTTCGGGAAAGGGTAAAATGGGATTCGGAACGTTCAAAAAAACACAGATAGTTTTGATGAGTATCGACAGTAGTCAAAGTTATGAGGCGGAGTGATTATCAAAAACACATGATAAGCAATCTATAGAAGAAGTCGTCTGTGATGCAGTGATTTGTCAGGTAGTTAATGAAGTCAGTTGTGCCCTGAATACGTTGTTGCTGAGCCAAACGAGCCGATGTAGTTATCTGACCTTCTTTAAGGTGATTCCAAATGGAAACTGTAACCACACTGTGACGAACCAATGTAGAAGGAAAGCAAGTTTAGGGAAACGAAGTTTATCTAGAGCCTAATTCTACCAAATGATGTTCTATTTGAACGGGGTCTTTTCATAACTGCCATATTCCAACCGCTGTTTTGTTCACGTAACTCGCCCATTGAAAAATCTTCCGGGTCGTATGAGAATGCTTCCTCTGCTCAAGATATATTTGGATGAATAGATTTATATGTCTCAGTCTGTTCGATCAAGCTTACGGACAATTACAACTGTTATCATTGGGTCGTGAGTACCACCTCAAGGAGACCAGAGTCTTCTCCAGTGCCACAGGTGCCATCACAATCAACACTTCTGGATTTGGTCGGTGGCAAGTTCGAAAAGCTTTAAGAGAGGTATGATGGGAGGGCTCGGAGCTTTCTAAGCAAGAAACGTAGCAGGGTATTCACTCTTGCTCCTGTTCCCTCGCAGTTGGAGGCATTGTTTCCCGTGTCAAAAAAGCTGGTGTCCAGGACCTGTAAAGTCAACATTTTAGAGAAGGCAGGGTTTCTCGGCCTGTACTCACATTCAGATTAGCCTTTCCTTGCACCGTGGGCTGATACGTACACCGTACTTTCCAAGATCGAAGCTAGAGCTGCTAAGAATAACAGCTCTTGTTACTGGAGCAGTTTTAGGGATCGGTTTTCTCACTTGCAACCCCAAATATTACGATACCACTATTTGAAGGAAGCACATTAGCAAAGGTTTTTGTACTAATTTGACGCTGAAAGTTGACGACAAAGAGACCCTCTGACAGTCTCTTACAACATCCTGCGTGCTGAAATAGTGCACGTAGGTCGTATTCTGTTCATTTCGGTATGATACCACTTTGACTAGTCAACGGATCCCCACAGAAGCCTTACGTATGGGTAACACCTCATTCAAGGGGTGGGATGGTATCATTTCAATCCACTACAGAGAACTTATACGACCAGAAATGTCTTGGATACGGCATTATGAGTAGCGAAGGTTTTCAGATGTTCGGTAAATGGCCCCATTGCTCCATTCACTCTCTGGCTGTCTAGCCATTTCCATGGATCTATATGCGTTAGAGCCAGCCAAAAGTTAGCGCTGCTTGTATTTATTTTTCGCAGAGATGAATTCACTGAAAACCTGTCTCAGGAAAGTTCACGAAAAGCAGCTTGTGCACTCGCATGTCGTTTTCCTTTTCTTGCATCTTAGAACAAGACACTAAGTATGTTACATTTCTCTAAATATACCCAGAAAAAATTAGCTGAACGACCTCCACCCTAGCTCCGGTGGAATACTTCAAGTTCCATCACTTATAAAATGTTCTGTACAAGTGGAATATACCTGATAGTCTTGTTCGACTTTCCTACTAACACCTCTTGATTCATTTGTACTATACATAAGCCGATGACAAGGAAATATTTAGTGCAAAAATGACACCAATAAGCTCCCTCTATGGTATCTATACAATCTGTTCTTTCCAATTCATCCAGGGCAAAACGTGGAATAACTACACACATAGTGGTCCTTTTATGAAATTTCAGTACTGACTTCTGCTGTAGTTCAGCCAGTAGAGGAGGTTTTGCAGCATCACTTAGTGAGCGGCAAGATATCTGCAGCTAATCGCACGCAAGAATTCAATCACCTCATGGCTGAAGTGTAAGTGGGCCGTGAATGAAGCATACCACCACCCCTGCTGACAACCTTCAAAGTCTCGCACAGCTCACCAATGGATAGAAGAGAACTCTAAGGAAAAACAAGTAAACGAAGGAACTGTTTGATCTCAAAAGCGAGAGCTGAGGCACGCAAGAGAGTTGTAGCTTCCTTTTACCATGACTCAAGCGAACGTTTCCAACAGTTAAGAACATAGATAATAATCGGACAACTTTCTCAAACATTAAAATCCATACTGGAAGACGAGACTGAAGTAGCACGCACAAGCATTGTTTGCACGTGAGACCAAGATTGTTTCGGAGAAACCATTCGGCAGTTTTATATGCATGTTGTATTCAGTGTCTATTAGGTCATTATGGCAAGCTAGCAGTTTTTAAACTCCAGGATCCATATCTTCGCGCTGTCTTTTTGAATTTCTGTTCCGCTCATTAGGCTGGCTAATAGATCATTTCTGAGTTCCCGAGTTTAGCTCTTGAAGATTTGATTGTTTGTGGGCAGCTACTCTTTGTGGTCTGCAGACTGGATGCGTGGGGAAACCACGCAGCAGCTGACAAGACTGATATTCTCTCCTCAGTTAAGACCTGTGTGAAAAGCCCAGGTTAGAAAAGTCATCATAAGCCAAACAAGCAAAACAGGTGATAATAATTTATTCCTGAATTCACAGGTGCATATCACTTTTACAGATACGGTTATAACAGTTAGTGGTGAAAAATCTCCGGTAATATTCTCTTTAGAAAACAATTTTTGTCGTCTCTTCATTCCAGGTAGTGGAAATCCCCAGTCTGAAGAAAAAGAAAACTTTGTTTGTTCATGCTAAATTCGACATATGTCCACAGCAGTTGTGTGGTGAAACTAGGGAAGAAAATGGTATCAGCATATGGTATTACCCCTCTTCCAAGCACTAGTGCAAAGGGAACTTGATGTAAAATCTACATGGTCTGCTGCTGGGACACTTCAGTTCAGTACAAGAAAATGTGTCTGCACATGTTTTGGTGGTCCATCGGTAGACATCCAACTGCGTTCTCAGTCTACGAGACTACCCGTTCTTCAGTGTCTGTGGCCTTAGTGCAGGATATTCAGGTCACCTCGAATTTTCTGAACAGATGGCATCACAAACTTGCAAATATAAGATCCTAATGGGTCTCATGATCCACGACTTACTCTACAAAGGCGTCAACTCGCCGCTCTATAAAACTTTCGTAGGGCCACCATCAGTGTATCGAGTGGTATCCGCATTTAAGACAAATTAAAGGCAGATGGTGTTGAAAGCATTTTATACCCAGGTTACAAGGATACAATCGCATACAGGACTGTAATTCCTGATGCAGAACCCCAAGTCTTGAATCACTTCGGATGAGAAGACCCAAAATTAGCTTGCCAACCTTCTCCAATGTGCTGCACAAATTTACTTCCACAGCCAGTGGTGGTTTAATTTCGAACACAACAGATATTATGATCTACTCAACCACGCCAACACTCCGTCTAAATCCTGCCTCTGAGCAAATTTCTTCACTGTAAGATTCTCTCAGATGTAGAATAGACATCCTGTTAAAGTGAAGCCTTCAGACCAACCGCTGAATCTAGTCGGTTTCCAGTTTATTTCTTAACATCTGGCAACTTACCCGGCTTACCGAATATACCAACATCATCCTGTACGACATTTTACACACTAGGCTTCCTTAGTTTATACTGGGACATCCAACACACCTGAACTGGCCCTCCACGAGAAACGTATAGGAGACTTCTACTAATTATCACCCTGCATCGACTGCACACTCTGCCCTGCCCGACAACGTGAACAAAAATAGAAGATCTAAGCCACATGACAGCATGAACTTCATGTTCTGAGGTATTCAGCGGAGAGAGCATATACAATGAACGCCACAGCAAACAAATTTAAGTAAGGAGAAACACGAACGCAGGAAACACACCCCCTGTTGGAATTCTTGCTTCTTCCTCCGCCTACCGCTTTGTTTCTGTTTTTTCTCGTTTCCCGCTTGTTGCGGACTTGAAGTTGCTGGTCAACTTGGAGGATATCATCGGCCGGCTACCTGTAGATTTACAAAGTAGATGGGCTGACGTAGTAGACAGGATTTTGGTCTCTGGGAGGGAACCCGAATTTGAGGACTTGGTCTGTTTCATTGAGGAAAGGACTAGAGTAGCTTAGTCGAGATATGGCTTACTGATAAGATGCAACTTGGAAAGTGGCTGGATGAAGAGTTCTGGCTCACAATTCAGCAGTATGTTGCACTACAGTCTAGTGAGAGGTACTAAGCATTCGACGTGTGAGCCTAATTCACAGGGAAGCTGAATGTCCCCCGGGAGTTCTTAACTGAAGTCTTCTTGGCAGATGCAGATACTATCACTACGACCAGTAGTGCCTGAAAGATACTGCACCCAAGCCTAATGCACACGTTGAGAGGGCAGGTTTCGGCTGCTGTGTAAGCCAGGTCCTGGGGATTCCCTAGTCCTGATGGCTTGCACCTAAGGCTAGTACCCCTGGTGGATACTACTAACAGGGTGCCTGCTTTACTATTCAACAAACTGTGGTCGTATTTGGCTTCCGAGAGGATGAAAACAAACTGTAATCGGACAAGTGTCCAAGGTAAGTAAAATGCACCTGGTATCGAACCATCATTTCATTGGGTGAAACAAAACAGTTGGTAAAATATTCCAGAAGCTTATCAAGGGTCGAATGTCCTGTCGTTTTGGAGACCACAGTCTCATCATTTCTCTACAACTGGTCCTTTTTGATGAAATAACTACCTCATGG